CCCCCTGCCCCCAACACCGAAATCAATATGCCTGGAAAAAAAAAGTGAGGCCGGATTTGGGCAGTACTCGGCAAGCGCAGCAAACCCCCGTAAACCAAAAAAAAAATAAAAAAATTCGGTGGATTTTTTTTCATTCCCGGGGTACTCCGAGCGAGATACCTACCCGGGCGAGGCGCCCGGGGCGCCAGGCCGGGCACGCCCGACCGAGCGCCCCGGGAAAGCTAGATCTCTATCCTATGTTCGCACAATTGTTTTCAAAATCACAAATTTTTTTATTTTTTTTTGAAAGACTAAATTTTGCGAAGCCTTGCCTAGATCTTACTCTTAGCACTCCTCCGTAAAATGCCTCACTGATAGCAGATCGACAAATATAAAAAAAAAAAAAAAAAAAAAAAAGGGGGGGAGGTGATCCTCTTCTTTTATTTTTTATTTTTATTCTGTTGATTAGGACCGGGAGGAAAGTACAGTTTGGTTGGTTACCTTCCTGCATTTTCCTCCCACCCAACCCTTTTGCCTGCATTCCCATTTTGGTAAGTGCCACGTCAGCAGTGCCATGACAGCAGTGCCATGTCAGCAGTGCCATGTCAGCAGCAGTGTCACGTCAGGAGCAGGGCCACGTCAGCAGTACCTCGTCAGCCGACACCGTACAGCTAACTGCAGCTTATGCTCCGACGCAGCAAACGCATCGCAACACGTGAAGGGCGGGCAGCCGCAACGGAACAACAACTACCCCTGCCCCACACCTCTGCAATGGACGCCCAGGGCAACCCCGCGGTGGACAATGCCGCATCTGGTAGTCCACGCGAGGCGTGCAGCTTGAACCCCCAGGTCCCACAGGTCCAGCAGGTGGGTTCCACTGCGACACCTGTGGGAGCCCTCGACGTTGCGCCAGTCCGGCAGCAAGGAGAGACCATGATGCCCGGAATAAGTTCTTACGCACAGGAAATCACAAGGGTTCACTTCTGTTCACAGGAGAGACAAACTCATAACACATCATCATTCAGATCAGAAAGAGAGGGGGGAGAGATGGACGAGAAATGTCGAGACAGGAGACACTGGGATCCGAGAAGAGGACGTCTGGGTTCGTAGTCGTTAACTGTTACTCACACCAAAGGAAAATGATCCGCAACAGTGAAGGCGCATTCGCCGTGAAATTCCAATATGGCCCTGGGCCAATCATCCACTCAACTCCAATTACCGATCCTCATACCCGCACCGACGATCCCAGCTGTCGCGTGCTAACTTCCGCCGCTGCGATCGTCACCCCGCTGACGCACGCTCGGCACGGCTCGTCCAGATCCCACAGTCTGTCGTGGCGATCAAGCGCGCAACTGGCCAGCCTGCAGTCAGCCCGTCAGGACTTTTCGACTCGCACAGAACGCATCACTTAGCCACTGCTTCCCGGAAGCTGGCTTGGGAGTTGAAAACGTAAGAGAGATTTGCGGGCGCGCTTGCGGAATTTATAGTTGCGAGAAAGAAGACAGACGGGGGAGAAGACAGAGGGGAAATCGAGATGTAAGAGGAGAAGATTCAGCGAGGGGTGCTCAAGGGAAGTCATGTTGATCCTTCGGAACCCAATGTTCGGCCAATCAGATTCGTCGCGCAATAGGAAGATCCGCTTACTTAACGCGTCTGATTGGTGAGCGGGGGTAATCGAAGGATGAACCGGGCTTTGCGAGCCAAGGTAGAAGAGCGAGAAGGAAAGAGGCGCGAGAAGCATCGCGAGACGGGTTCAAGATTCAAATGATCAAGAAAGGAAAACAGGCGCGCAAAGAGCAAAGAGAGGGAAAACAGTTTCTAGGAGACGAAGAGGAGGGGGAAGGGAGAGAGAAGAGAGCACGCGGGAAATAAGGAGGAGGAAGCTGGCATGCGCGGCGCCGACAACAAAAAAAAAGGCACGAAAACAGTTACAGCTTGCCTATGTCCTAAACTAATTCAAAAATTGAAATCACCATATCCGCGCGCGAAAGTCGGCGCGGGAAAAGAAAGTCCTATGCCTATCCGTATTCTCACAAAATTCCTAGAGTTTTCTCCGACGTGACCGAGAGCATTCATGCACAAAAAAAAGGACACGTCGGGTTCCGCTTATTCCGGAATTCCTAACTGTCGAGCCCGATTCCTAGTGCGCTCGCTAAGACGCACGCAATTTCCCATGCATTTCCCGAATTACAAAAAGCAGAATTCCAAGAATCAACAGAACCTCTGAAAAATGGGGGCCTGAACAAGGCACCTGAAATCAAGAAAAGCGACAAGGGCTTTGTTGGGTCAGTATGATACAAAAGAGGGAATTGAGTCAAGGGGTACGAAAGATAGCACGGGGTCGAGAAGTCGTTCGTCACAATCACGAAAACCCCGAAGCTGCAGTTTGGGCTCAAACATCGTTTCGAGAGGGCCCTCGAAACCGGCGTTCTAACAGCTCTCGAAGACATCCGAGGGTTTTTTTTTCGGGAGGCTGTGTGGCGGTGCACAACTCTCGAATTTTCGAGATTCGAAAGTGGTGTGGCGAGGCCGCAAGCATAGCTACCCCATGATGAAGGGATTGCATGTTGCCCCTTGCCCCAGTGCTTTACGGTGCAGGGTTGGGGCTCCGCTAACACAAGGATTGAACATTTATTTGTTTGTTTGTTTGCTTGTTTGTTTGTTTGCTTGTTTGTTTCTTATTATATATAAAAGCCCAGGTTGTTGTAGAAGTAGGATACCAGACGGATGGCAGTCACCCACAGTACTCTGCCACCGGTTTTCCAGATGAACCCCTCTGACGACCCTACCCACCCTTCCTCTTATATTTTGCCCTGGCGCACCCCCACCCCCCTTGTCCTACCCTAGTGTTTTCATTTGTTTGTTTGTTTGGTTGGTTGGTTGGTTGTTTTATATTGAGCATTTGCCAGGAGCTGTGTCTCCCTTGTTTTCTTTTTCCTTTTACTTATCATAGGTTGAAAACAGTCATGACCCAAGACGTTGACGTTTAGTAGCGGCAGCTTCAATATTATCAGTAATGATTGGGGAGGGCATGGAGACTTCGCTTCACGGGGGGCTGCGGGGAACCCCTCTTGACCTGCAGGTTGAGGAGCAAGTGTCCGCGCTGTCTATTGTGATAATTTACAAACAGCAGTTGAAGGAGATGTATGCGGCGCTGTGTCAACCGCATGGCGATATGCCATATGATGTCCTGCTGGAGGGAGAGGAGACCTGCGATGGGTGGGAAGAGGAGCTTTATGAACAGATCTCATTTCGACAGAGGGATGCGATAGACAGGGAGAGGGCGATTGTCGTCTTCTATGACTGCATTGAGATGCTGCAGCAGGTCAAAGACATGTTTGCTGGCCTTCTAGCGAGGAGACACGCGAGTGGTCCGCCGGATACCGAGACATGGACGGCATCGACAGCAGCAACACCATTGACAACATCATCAACAACATTAATTTCATCAACCACGGCAACAACAGCACTGTCATCGGCCTCAACCACATCAACAGTGGTTAATACGGATATATTGCCAATTATGACATCTATGACGACAACATCACTATCTATAGCTGTGACACCATCGAGTAATCAAGGTTGTGTTCAGCAATGGGAGCTGCTTGAGCAGGCTCATGATGCATGGGGGAGGGAAGAGGGCCCCCCCCCTTGCGTGGGATTCGCGGATCGGCTATGGTCGAATGCGCTGATGTGGCGCGGTTGCAAGGGCTTAGAGGAGGGGTGGGGTCCGTGTGGCGAGATCGACGATCGATTTCATGATGATGCGATTGCAAAGACGACAGTCTTGCCGACAAAAACAACAACAACAATCACATAGCATGCAATAACAAATCCTGCAACAATAACAAACATGGCGATGGTATTCGTTGGGAAGTAAGTGTGCTTCGCCTGTTTCTCTCCCCCCTCTCTTCTCCTCCTATCCCGTTTTCTCTCCTGCATGCCGTGGGGAACGATCGGGGTCAGGGGCGAGAGGGTTGGGTGAAAGCAAGTGTGATTCGCCTGTCTCTCT